TTAGATGATCAAAAAATAATGGACACGTATTTTTTCTTTGGGCAATCAACCAAAAAATGACAAAGTTATAGCGCGTCAAAGTTTGGGAGTAGGGGCTCGTGACGTCACTTTTGAGTGAATTTTCACTTATAAGTGTACTCAAACGTGACGTCATACGACTTTCAAATCAATATATCTCTGCAATGTTTATATTATGTGAAAAAAGAAAAAATACGTGTCCAATACTTTTCGATAATCTACCTGATAAACGAAGAAAAAATTAGTCATCATCCCTACTCTTACGGTCGCTTTACGGCATAATACCCGCTAAAGACACTGCGAATACCCTCTAAGCTGCCCCATGTGAAGCCGCGGGATCCCCGTTTAGGTATTCTCCGCGTCACCGTTGACTACCCTGACCCAATCACCTTACGCTTGGAGTTCTGGAGCCTTACTCACCGATAGTAATACAAAACCACCGAAAGATAATGTTGTTTTATTGTAATCTTTGATCTTCTGTACAAAAAGATTACTTCTCCAGACGGGTGCTCCAATATGAGCGGGAAAAAAGTGAGTGTTATTTTACTGTAGTCTTCTATAAACTAGAAGTTCAAATAAGGATAGGTTTACGGAACTTATCGACCAACTCATTGGCTAACATTATGTCACTGCCATTTCCGAGTTCCGCTCAACTACTTGAAATGCTAAGAGGTTGATATGTTATATATAAAATTCTCGTGTCACAATGTTAGTTACCGTACTCCTTTGAAACGGCCTGACCGTTTTTTATGAAATTTTATATGCATATTCCGTGGGTCTGAGAATCGGCTACTATCTATTTTTCGTATCCTTAAGTGATAATGGTTATTGATACCTGTAACGTAGTGTTCTGACACCTACAATGCGCCTTCGCGCCAAAGTTCATACTATTGGGTATTGTAACGTAGTGTTCTCATATGGGTTAGGAGGAATGTTATTCTAGGAAATTGATAGAATACTACGTTACACACCCCTAAAATTTTTTTTGGACAATATTTATTTTTTTATAATATGGTATAAAAAAATTAATACAACCCTAAATTTTCTCTTCTAACACCTGCCCCTATTTTTATGGCGGTACGAAGTTCGCTGGGTCAGCTAGTTATAATATAATATTATATTTTATTAAATATGTGTTTCAATCTTTAAGTAGTAATTACTAGTACGTAATTATTTCATTTTAGATTGATATTTTTTTCTCATTTTTAGCAAACTGAAATATTTAAAATTTCAGCGTTACAGGCAGACAGAGACAATTTCGCATTAACTACGTGTAATATTAATATGGACCAACACATTGCGGGACGTTATACTGTACACATATAAATATGCATTTAAAGTTACTTTTATGAAAATATTATGTGGTAATCTAGTAGGTCTTACATGTAAGTAGATTTCAAAACAATAAAGTGTGCGAAATTGTGTCTTATATTGGATTTAACTATTCTGTAACATGATTTATTGGTTTGTAGTGTCCAGGTAGGTTTAATATTGTAATTTTAATAGATTTGTATTATTTGTGTTTACCTACCTTCTAATGTGAGCATAAAAATTCAAATGTTATATTTTAGTCCTTACTTTCATTTTTTGGTAAAATTTAGTATTGGTTTGTTATAATATTGATAAAAATGGACTCGGAAATACTTTTTGTTTTGAAATTACCTTCGATGGATTGTAAATTGTGGATATTTTTTTCTCATTTTAATTTTCCTGTCTAGTAATAATACAGTTTGTTTTCATTTTATACATTGATAGGAACACTGTTTCATATTATACGGGAATCGTCGTTAATTCTGCAACACAATTTTTGTAAAACTAAAGCTGATTTAACGATTCATAATTTTATGTACACTGCACTTGTTCCAAATAAAGTTATTATTATTATAAAGCAAATTTGAAATTAATGAAATAAAACAATTTATTTTATGATATTTCCAAAAAAATCGATTTCACTCAAAATTTATAACAAAAGAATATCTATATAGTTTATATTATTTGAATATTAAACACTGTCGTATTAACTTTATAAATATTTGTTTCTTAGGTTTTCACGTACATCACACATTAAATAAAACTAATTTTTTACGGGGTAATGCGAAGGTAGCTCGACAAAATTAAATAAAAAATTGATACCGACGATGCAGCCTGTAAAGGCTGCGAAACGTCAATAAATATATAAAGTTTCGTGCATTAACCCGTGAAAAACTAGTTTTATTTAATTGTTTTTATAAAATTAACTAAGGAATCAATCCAATAGAACAGGAAGGAGTTACGTTAATTAGATCAATTGTGTCCCCTCATGTGTCTCTAAACACTTTGTCTTTCTGTATGTGTTCATAAAACCACCAAAAAAAAAAATGAAAAAAAAAATTTGGTCTATCGACACCCACAACACCAGGAGTTTCACAAACGCGATGCCGGCCTTTAAGGAAAGAAGTACGATATGTTTATAAAAGTTTTCGGGTCGTATTGGTCCGGCCACACTGCTGGTGACAATAATATTCCACAGTTTTTATTTTATTTTATTGATTGCTCGTTTAACGTCATCCTCATTAATGTTTAAGATATTTATGTAAGCAGTGTTTAATGGACTAGTTGTCGCCATTGTATTATTGGCATCTAAGATAGGATTTTCAGGTAAAAATACTCAGCAAAAGCTTGAGCTGCTCCTGCACCGCTATAGGAAATATTATTGTAAGATATTTCAGGTTCGAATGCTGCATTTGACCTAAGGTTAGTAACATATTGCCAGAACTGTTGAGGTTTGTTTTTGAGATTACTCTCAATACGTTGGGTATAGGACTGATAAGCCTTGCTTATGCGATTTTTAAGGCTTGCTCTTAATTCGGAAAATGATTTGCGCATACCGTCTGATTTTAGTCGTTTCCAAGCACGATGCAATTTTGTTTTAAGTTTGATATCTTGAACAATATCCCTGTCAAACCATGGTGGATAGCAATTTGTTAACTTATTTGGCCTAATTTTTTTGGGAACTGAAAGATCGAAGACAGTAGTATACAATATTTTATAAAAATTATAAAAGTGGCTTATGCCTTTGTGTCGAGATCTATAATAAAATCCCTCCCGACATAAAAATGCTAAATATGAACATGTTTAAAAATAAATTATATAAATGGCTAAATGAAAACAATTTTTATGACCTAAAAAGGTTTTTCAATTATAAAAATTAATGACATGTTGTAACTTATCCTCTAATAATTATGATAAATGTATCTTTTCAAATTTTTTTTATATCTGACATTTAGAAATCTTGTAATATTAATATGTTGACATTGTATATTTTATTGACATAATATAAGGTATATTTGTTTCTTATATTCTGACGATGCAGACCTGAAAAGGCTGCGAAACGTCAATAAATAAATAAAGTTTCGTGCATTAACCCGTAAAAACTAGTTTTATTTAATATAAGGTAACTCTGACATTCATAATTCTACAGAAAAATGTTATAATTAATTAATCTCTTTTTTTTATTGGTTCCATATTATGTATTTGCATGCTATTTTTAAAATGGCAAAACACGTGCTCAAACCGTTGTGTAATACCTATATACCGTGTTTTTAGCAAATAAAGATTATGATTTATATGTAGCGGTACTAATATGTTTCGATTTTGTGACAATGCCCCAGTCAATGTTCAAGAGCAACTCTTAAATTTTTGAGTAGTTCGCCTTATTAAAATTCCAATCTTTAAAAGTATTTACATTACTAGGTTCAAGTTTAAAAATAATGTTATTATGCCTTGCAAATTGCAGACTGATATTTAACGGGGGATGATATGAATCAAGAGGAGGAGTTTTGTCGGACATGGTAAAAAAATTTGACAATATCCCACGGTTGTGGTAAGCCTCGTATTAGGATGACGGGGATGAAATTTTTGTCGCGATGTACAAAATTAAAAAACTGATGCAGGTGATAATACATATTAGTATATACGCGGTTTTTTCATGCTCAACTGTCAAATTACTATGGAGTTTGACAGATAGACGCGATAAAAAACGTAAGGAACGTAAATTGTGGTGCTCATACTACGGGGACAGGTGCATTTTATAACGAACCTTTAAAATTATCAAATAAAAAGCTTCATTTAAAAGTCACTCTGGTAAAAAGTTGTGAACACTAAAAAGTTATTATATTCAAGAGTTAAATATTAAAATTTTATTGCAATGTTTTTTAAAAATATCACATTCCAAGTGGAAAAAATAAAAGCCTTAAATTTAGCTACTGAATAACAATTTAAAGCAAAATCGTACATTCGTTATTAAATACAATAATATGTAACTGTTCTTGGTTTTTTTAAACAGTAAAAAATACAAAACATTTTTTACTACTTTTTGGAATGAAGATTTAATATAAAGAGCCGTATCAAAATGCTTATTATCTTCACGGAATCGCGAAAGAATCACGGAAAATCTAATAACACTTCTTGTATAAAAACTGGCTTGACGTCCAAAAATGAAATTGGGTTAAATTCATTCATTAATAAAACTAGTTTTTCAAGGGTTAATGCACGAAACTTTATTTATTTATTGGCGCAGCCTTTCGGGCGTCTTCGTCGGAATATTTTTTTTATTTCATTTTGTCGTCTTTCGAAGGTAACTCGACAAAATTAAATAAAAAATTGATTCCGACGAAGCAGCCTGTAAAGGCTGCGAAACGTCAATGAATAAATAAAGTTTCATGCGTTACCTCGTGAAAAACTAGTTTCATTTAATTTCATTTTTAGAAGTTACAGTTTACATTCCATAAGTCTTACAGAAACAACTTTTCGAAAGTTGGTTCATTCAAATACGAAAAGCACCGCCGAAAAAGTTTTTCAAAACTCACGAAAAAGTTTGGTTATAATTTAAAAAAGAAGAAACAATCACAGACTACACGGAGAATTGAAATCTTATACATTGTGTTGGTAGAACGCTGTTCGAAATTCTAAGTTTGAATTTTGAAAAATTATCTCGTACTTACCTAAAGGATGGTGTTAAAATCTCCGTGACACTACACAGGGCATGCCACTGCTAGAGGGCGCGTCAGACACTGTCTTGCGGCGCTCAACACTGCCCCTTATATAAGAACCGCCCAAAAGGCGTTAGGCGGGCGGGGTGTAATCTATAGCGCTTTACTCTCGTTACTTTTTAATTTCTCTCGAAAGTATATAATGTACTTTTTAATTTTTTTTTTCTAATCAATGAATTGAGCTAATATTTATATTCCTCCTAAATGCATGCTAAATGGAGTGTATGAAAACCGTGTGCATAAAATAAGTAATTTTTGATTTTTCTTACAGTACTAAAGACTTTGTTTAACTTAGGTACTTCACATTTTTAATGCAAAAAGGGTGAAGCACAACCATATATTTTTTTTATTTTAAAAGGATGGCATACAAGCGAATGGCCCGCTTGAATGTAAGCGGCCACCCATAGTCTATACACGCTTGCGGAGAAGTAATATTACAAATGTGAAAATTTGTATGTCTGTTACTCAACCACGCAAAAATTACTGAACAGATTTGGATGAAAATTAGTACGAATATAGTTTTTAAGGCGTGGATTGAAACATAGGTTACTTTTTATCCCGAAAATATCAGTTCAAGTTCCTGTGGGATTCTCAAAAAAACTAATTTTAACGCAGACGATTTCGCTTGCGGCTGCTATTTTCTTGAAGTTTCATCATTTTTAAGTCATTTCAAAGGTAAAACGGATACTATTTATTGACGTTTCCATCATTTAATAAATTTAATAATAGGGTATTTGACAGTGTTAAAAATAAAGTGCCAATTGTTAGTATCTGTGTTTAGAATGAATATTGGCAGGGGTTTTTACTATTTTTACATAAAAAATATTCATAATTTAACTAAAAACTAACGAAAAAGATAATAGTTTTCTTATCTATTGTCAAGTGACTCAAAACGCTTGGGATTGGCGGAACCTAAAATGACGTCACACGCAAGTAAACTTCCGGTTAAAGTTATATTAAATTGTATCGTTTGACGTTTTAATAACAGTCTCGTGTGGCGTCACACACTAGTAAGACGCTATATTGTCAAGAGAAACGTTCTCGCGGCAACTTGCAAATGGAGTTTTTGATTTGGTTATTTTTACTGAAACACACAACAGAATGATGAATATCCACTTTTTACGGACTCCATAAACATTAGTCAATAACGTGAGATCGTTTTCTAAAACTTGTCAAATATCCTATTGCCCTGACAATGAACATAGCGACACAAATTCGAAATTAACACCACACTTGCAAGAAAGAAACCGATGGTGTACTGCGGCCCTCTACCCTCAAGGGGTAGGCCCTAGGAGCGTAACTTTATAAATGAAAAGTAATTAGATTTTCTATGTTATTTTATTTGAAATCAGGCGAATATAATAATAATGAGAAGCTCGATGGCGCAGGTGGTTAGCGCGTTCGGCTGCGATCGTTGTAGTTAAGCAACTTTCGCAGTAGTCGGTCATTGGATGGGTGACCAAAAATTTCTATCTCGAGTTCCTCCGTGCTTCGGAAGGCACGTTAAGCCATTGGTCCCGGCTGCAACTGCAGTCGTTAACACCCACCAATCTGCACTGGGCCCGCGTGTCTGGGTCATGGCCCAATCTCCCTATTCCATCCATAGGGAAGGCCTGTGCCCCAGCAGTGAGGACATTAATAGGCTGATGATGATGATGAATATAATAATTGAGCTTAATCTACCAACGTTTGGTTTGGTGCCTGAAGTCTATCTGCTAGAACCTTCTATCAAACGACAGAAGATTCCCAATTCCAAATCTTCAAAAATCATGACATTATCTTTTTAATATAACTGCCAGCCGTAGGCATTACATGAACAAAGAGTTTGGCCAAACAAGGAGGCTGTAACGCAACGGACGTTACAGTACCTTTAAGAGCCCTTTCACATTTTTTGCAAAAAATCGTATTTTTTGAGCGCCTCATTTACCCCTTTAGAAAAGATTTTCACTATTTCCAATAGAAGTTAACAGTAGAATTATTCCTTTTATTGAAAGTTCATGTAGAATATTTGCAAATACTATTTTCATATTTTTGTACTGATCATTCTACTGCAGCTAGTTTACAGAAAAATACGATAATATGCACAACTTCAAACGCCGGAATCTCTAAATAATGTTTAATAAATTAGATCAAATTAATTACTACGATATTAGAAATATGTTTTGTTGTAACATAATGTATTAGAATTTTTATTTTCAGTCTCATTAATCATCAAAAAAAACATCTTACCTCCGTGAGTTTTCCCAAAAAATAATGCAGGTTTACCTCGTATTTTAATATTGATTTAAATAGAATTACTATCAAAATTTTTCATTAAACTAATCTACCATCAGTGAACTACTGAAATATGTATATATTTTTATAAATAGTTGATTAATAATTATTTTATAAAACTCTAAACACCACCCGTAAAATGCAATATATACTAGTGCAAATCTACCTACGCGCCGATTAGTACGGCACCGGTGCAATGTTGTAAAAGGGCTCTTAAGGTGCTATTCTGATTTCGACTGCAGGTTGCAGACGCAGGCTGCACTTGCAGCGGCTGCAAGTACCCTGTTGCGGGTGCACGACTGGTTTGTATGCATTTGTATGAAAGGCTCAACTCACACTGGCGCAGAGTCGAAGCGACGCGACGCTTTTCGTCTGTAGCATATTCATCACCATTTTCACACTGTTAAGGTATTCCGAAGGCGAAAAACATGACGCTCCGACTCGCCGATGTGAGTAGAGCCTAATACTTTCAGTATCCGGTATAAGCTGCACAACTCTGGAACAAGCATCCGCCTGAGATCCGTCACGCTAAGTCAACTAACATTTTTAAAAATATTCTACATGATTTTCTTTTACTTAAATCCTAGTCTGCTGTATCTATAAATATATAATATTGCATAATATGTTTATTTGTGTAGGTATATATAGTATGTTTATATTTGTGTAGGTATACGCTATTTATTTATTTATAATCTTTATATATTTAAGAAAATATGTACATTTCTTTATTTTACCTTGCTGGCATACTGTAACTTCCTCTTCGTTTAGTTATCCTTTACCGCAAAGGTTGTCTGGAAGATATAATTTATGGCTGCCTTTGTCCACATTATGTTATTATTTTCTTATTTTTGTATGTGTGCAATAAAGAATTTATCTATCTATCTATCTATCCGTCTTAATAAAAAGGATAAAATGTTGGACAATAGGGAATTTGAAAAGTTTTAGAAAACGATCTCACTTTATTGTCTAATATTTATGGAGTCCGTAAAAAGTGGATATTTATCATTCTGTTGTGTATTTCAGTAAAAATAACCAAATCAAAAACTCCATTTTCAAGTTGCGCAGCACTTTCAACCCGCCTCGCAATCAATATTGGCAGCAGCTGCAAGTGGTACCTGCATCTGCAGCCTGCAGCCTAGATTGGAATAACAGGGCTTGAAACCGGTTTCAAAAATACCAGTAAATAAAGGTTAATACCGGTTTTTAGTAAAGGTTTCGTTCGGAGCGCACCCGAAATGAAAGCGGTATCTAAAACCATAATTAACCGGTTTAATCCAGAGCGACACGTGCACACGTCAGCATCGCTTGAAGATTGTTTTGTTTGAACTAATCAAGTCACAACTTGTTAATGCTCAGAGATTGATGCATTTATTGACACGTTTTCTAGCGTCTAGTGAGTCTAATTATTCATTTTGTAGTTGTGTATTTATTTCAACCGTCAGTAAGAGCGAAATGAAACCCTTTAAAAACCGCTAAATTGATTCAAAACCTATTTGATTTCGCTTTTTAGGAAAACCGGTTTTTTAAGGTTAAGGTAAAGCCAAGCTTAAATAAAACGCTCCTAATGTACTTGACACTGATTTAGGTTTGAAAATTAACCGGTAAACAAGCCCTGCGGAAGTTATTCCGCAGGGCTTGTTTACCGGTTAATTTTTAGCGCTTGTTAACCCTTGTTAACGTGAACCTTTAAAGCGCTTGTTAACGTGATGATCTCTACATAGACCTAGGCACTAGTTTTAAATCGACTACGTCTGGTCGGTAGAAATATGGGTCACTATGGAGGTTTGTTAGACACCGGCGACGCTGGCGACGGTTTGGGTGAAACCATACCTAGATCCGGCGGAACATCGGTCGATAACAAGCGCTCTTACAAACTATTGGCCGCACGATCGCTTCAACTCTCTCACACTAATCTGACCAGTTTTAGCCCTTTTCCTAAAGGGAATATATTGGTTTGAAATTGTATATGGCCCAAATTACTCTTTTCTGCAGTATAAAAATACTTCCTATATCAGCAGCTGAACCCCATAACAGCAAGTCAGGACAATTTTGAGTACTTACATTCAAATACTTACGATACTCAATCAATAGTCTGACCATAAATCCTCCTCCTTGAGTCGCATTCCTCATTACTAAGGGTCGTGACCTCCCTTCTGCATCACTTTCTTCCATATAATGGTCTTCCATCTGTTCCTGTCTTTGGCGGTGTGGAGGGCATTGTGGACTGTCGAGTCTAGAGCGGTGCGAATCTGGTCAGACCAATGTATTGGGCTGCGTCCACGCGGTCTTTTTCCCTCTACTCTGCCGGTCACAATCAGTTTCTCCAGGTTGTCACTGTCCTTCCTTGCAATGTAGCCGAAGTATTTAAGGACTCTGCGCAAACACTCGGATGATAGGCGTGAGGAGATTTTGAGCTCACGCAATATGGAGACGTTAGTCCGGAATGCTGTCCAGGGGATAGGGAGCATCTTTCTCCAGCATCACATTTCAAAGGCGTCGATGCGTTTGCGATGTGCAGCTTTCAGGGTCCAGGTCTCAGCGCCATACGAAAAGATCGAGAAGACTAGAGTCCGTACCAGTCTGGTTTTGGTCTTTACGGATATGTTGCAATCTCTCCAGATTTTGCCAAGCTGAGAAATGGCGCCTTTAGCTATGCCGATTCTCCTGCGTACTTCCATATCGCACGACCCATTGTTGCTGATGTTGGAACCCAAGTAGAAGAAGTTGTTGACTGTTTCTAGT